CACACACACACCTCCTCCCAGCATGCATGTTGCTCCTTGGCTCTCCACACTGCAAAAAAAAAAACATCTTCCTGACTTTAGAGTTGCTTCCACAGCAGGTAACACAGACAGGCAATAATTAAGAGTTAGCTTATTCAATATAGAGAAGTGTTCGGTGTATCAATGGCGTCTTATCTTCATGTTCATCTGTTTCGTACTCTCTAATGCTGATTTATTTCTATTTCGAGATTATTATTATTATTTCTACTCTTTTCTTGTGTTATGATGTGCAATGCCTTGTTTTGTTTTATGCATCTGCACCAACCTTGTTTTCCTAATTGAGATACTTAAAGTGCATCTCGTATGAACACAAATGGACAACCGACCAAATGAGTAGCAGCACTTCAAAAGAGCTAAGAGACATATTTAGGTAACACACACCAAGGAGACGTTTCTCCACGTTTTAGGACATGTGTGTGTTTTGACACAACAGTGATTCTTGCACAGTGCAGCTTGTTGACGAGCGTCCAGAGCTTCATGGCTGCAGGAAACACATTCCTCTGGGAACAAATGAAAGTGCAGTGAGTGTAGATATTCATGTTGCTGCATGTTTGCTTCTCTGCCTGGAAGAAATAAACAAACATGTCTGATAAAAGTCTTGGCTCCGTGTCAGCTGGGATGGGAATCATCGCTCCTCCTGTTAGACAGGAGGAGCGATGATTGATTTCAGGGAAAGTTTTGCTTTCAGCAACTGTTACTGTCAATGTGTCTTATCTGTATCTGTATGTCTAATTGATATTTATGTTGCATTGTTGGAGGAGCCTGGGACTTCAGATTCCCAAAGTACACCGTAGTGTGCATATATATTTGTTTATATTATAGTTTTCTTAAAATAATTCTGTGTTTAGATTTTTTGTTTTACTTTGATGTCTGCACCACGACATCAAGTCAAATTCCTCTTATGTGTCCACCTGATTCTGATGTCAATAATGCTTTCTGAATCTTAGCTTGTTCTAAGGTCTTCTTGCACTATTTTTTCTGTTTTATTTGTTTGATGTCCTACATGCTGCACTGTTGGAGGAGCCCGACTGAAGACTTTCATTGCCATTTCTACACTGAAGCTAATGTACACATGCAGAGAGGGCAAAAGTACCCACATCCTTTACTCAAGTAGAAGTACAGAGAATCGTGTTTAAAAATACTCTGGTGAAAGTAGAAGTACTGACTAAACTTCTTTACTGAAGTAAGAGTAAAGAGGCTTTGAAATGTACTTCAGTAAAAAGTACCCATACGTTTATGTCCTTGGGCAACACACTGAACTCTAGTGTAATGAAACACACATTCAAACTAAAGTAACACACTTGTTTTGAAAATGTAAGAAGTAGAAAGTACAGGTATTTGTGTTCAAAACGTAAGAAGTCAAAGTAAAAAGTTGTCAGAGTGGAGTAAAGTACTGATACCAGGAACATGTAAGTACAGTAACAAAGTATTTGTACTCCACTACTTCCCACCTCTGAATGACAATAAAGCCTGAAATCTCCTTAAGGTGGATATTTTTTGCAGCGCCTCCCCTCCTTCCTCCCTCCCTCCCTCTCTCTCACCCCCCCTCGTGCCACCCTGCTCTCGCGGGTATAAAGGGGAGGTGAAACCGCAGCCAGCTTCAGTCCAGAGTCCATCAGCAAAGCGGAATATGCTCTATTCTCATTCCTCCCGCACACACTTCACCTGAATGCTCTGTCTTTTTTTTTTTAACTCGTCTTTTTCATTTCATCCAAGAGCGTCTTTTTGAGTTTTGAGTTTCTTCACCTGACGCGCTGTCCGTTTTCCTTTTGGACCCGTTTGGATTTTACGCATTTTAAATTCTTCACCTGTATCAGGACCTCCGGAGCTCCGTGCCCTGGAGACTCGATCCGAGCCGACATGGCGCGCTTCTTCCTGCCGTTTCTCCTGATGTTCCTGTGTGTGCAGACGGTGAGTAACTCTGACAGCACACACAGGAACTCACTTTGTGTTCTCCACTCTAACAGCTTCCAAGTTATTCTATCGATATATCTTGTTTTCTGAAGAGCAGGGGAGGTTTTGGAGAGCTGCGCTTTTACGCACAGAAACTCCGAGCTCCATGTTTTTACTTCAATTACATTTTAATATCACACATGTATGCATATCATAGTTAAATGATGCAGTCCAGAGTCCAGCTTCACAAGTAGAACAGAGTGGTTTCATTTTAAAGCATGTTGCAAAGCAGCCACTTTGTGCATGTTTGTTCAATGTGTTTTTATGCATTTTCTCATTTATACACATTATTTTCGTGCACAATTTGACACATTATATAACGCTCAGTTTTCTCCCTTCCTCTCCATTTCAGACTCTCTCCTCCGGAGTCTTTGAGCTGAAAATCAGCTCCTTCTCCAGCTCGCGGGGAGTTTGTGGCTTCCAGACCCGGGATTGCCAGATATTTTTCCGAGTTTGCCTCAAACACTCGCAGGACGTTATCAACCCGGAGCCCCCGTGCACGTACGGGACCGCACTCACGGACATCTTCGGCGCGGACTCCAAATCCATCTCCAGTAGCGCGCCCATCAGGGTGCCTTTTCACTTCAAATGGCCGGTAGGTGACAGAAATCACACGCTTTGGCCTCAGAAGTCCTTTAGTCCTCCAGTGTGCTTCACAAACTCAACAATGTGCATTTAAAGGCTGAATAAGTGATTCCGCTTCTCATTGATTCACTTCTAGCATGAATGATGAAAGTAAAGCTTACAAACCAGCAGGAGCTAACTTATGCATGAGTAAAAGAAAGAAAGAAAAAGTTATGTTTCTGGTCATTAATGGAGGTTTTTGATTTTAAATCTTATTTTCAGGGGACTTTCTCTCTGATCATTGAAGCCTGGAACGCGGAGTCTTCAATTATCGGGTCTACAGGTACGTTGCTTCTGCACCGCAAGGGGGCGACAAACACACACACACACACACACACACACACACACACACACACACACACACACACACACACACACACACACACACGCACACACATCACATTATTCACACTTTCAGCATCTCATTTGGCACACATATTAATCATGTTTTCCCCTCAAGATAACCAGAACAATCTGATCAGCCGCCTGGCGACCCGCCGCAGACTCACCGTTGGAGAGGAGTGGTCCCAGGACGTGGACTTCAGTAACAAGAGCGAGCTCCGGTACTCCTACCACGTGATCTGTGACGAACACTACCACGGGGTGGAGTGCTCTGCCTACTGCCGCCCGCGCAACGACACCTTCGGCCACTACACCTGCGACGAGCCGGGCGACCGGGTCTGTCTGGAGGGATGGACCGGAGTATACTGCGACGTTCGTGAGTTTTGACACACTTTAATGCATTTAAATCACATAAACCCTGCCAGAAAACACCAACATGATGCTTTAAGCAGGGTTGTCAAACTCCGGTCCATGACTTAACTTCATGTGGCCCCTCAAGAGCTCTGAAAGAATATAATATGTTTATCATGCATGCCGATTTACAGAAGCACGTTGCCCATAAACTACATGTCCCACAATGCATCTCAAATATTCATTTTTTCTCAGAATTTTACTTTTTTTTGGATTTTGACTTTTTCTCCAGAATTTTACTTTTCTTTTTAAATCATTTTGTGACATGCTCACTGAAGAGACTTGCAATCATTTGCCCTAGACTTCTGCTTTCAGAAGTAGTTGATTATGAAGTTATTACCCTATCAGATAATAATGCAATGCAGATGCAATGTTATAAATAATATAATACAGGCGTGTGGTGCAGTGGGTTGTGCGTTGGTGTTCGGATCAAGGGGTCACAGGTTCAAACCCCACTGCTGTCAGCATGTCGTTGTGTCCCTGAGACACTTCACCCCCAAATTGCTCATGGATTGTCGACAGTATTGAGTATGTAAGTCGATTTTGATAAAAGTGTCTAACAAGTGACGTGTGATGTAATAATACATTATTTTATATATATTAAATATTTATATATGTATTTTTATATATCTTAAAGTTACAACCGGCCCTTTGAGTGCAACCTTAGTGCTGATGTGGCCCGTGATGAAGTTGAGTTTGACACTCAGGCATTTCTGTCTGTGTTGTTGTAATAAGATAAGAAATAAGATAAGAAGTACTTTATTGATCCCAATTTGATTCGGGAAATGTTTGCGTTGCAGCAGCTTAAAAAGACTTGTACACAAAAGACATTAAAAGACTAGAAATAAACAATCCAAAATATTTCTGAAATAGAAATACACAGTAACAAAATATAAGCAGGATATTATATTTACATTAATTGTGCCCGGGATTGGATTATTACAAATTAAATTGAATATAAGTGTAAAATGTACAGTGGGAGTTTAAGTGCATTCATCAAGAAGCTAATGAGGGGGTTTAATGGCCCTAAAACAATGTTTTATTTGCTATAGTTTCGGTTTGAAGTTTCCCAAAATGTCCATAGTCATAGTCAGCTTTAACAGTTTGATGGTGTTTTTTTATTTCTTGCCCATAAGGCCCTTTAGTAGGAAGTTGTAATGTTTGTACAGTACAACGTTTCATTGCTTTTGGTCATTCAAGCCTATTTTACATTTCAAAGTTTAACAGCCATTATAAATTGAGTACAGCTGTCTTTTAGTAACAGTGGCTGTAAAATGTGCTTTTTGTAACAGTAGTTTAACCCCTACTCTTCTTACACTCCCTCCCTTTTTGTAATTGTAACGTTACTTCAGATTTGGGGGGGGGGAAAGAATAGGACCCTTGGCGCTTCAATTTTTTTTGTCAAGCGATCTTGAAATTGTTAAGTCAAGCAGTTGTCAACGCCATCGCTGACCCTGGAGGACAAAAAAAAAGACCTTTGAGAAGCTTCTGTTGTTCCCTGCGAGTGTGTGTGAGTGAGTGTGTGTGTGTGTGTGTGTGTGTGTGTGTGTGAGTGTGTGTGTGTGTGTGTTGGCTCCTTTTGTTTTTAGCTCAACAGTCGCCCGCCCGTTTTAACAGGCACACGCTGCAGCTTAATGTGCGCTGCCTTGCGTGAAAAGAGACGGCATGTGTTGCTTTTGTTGTGAGGGCCAGCTGCTTCACTCACTACTTAACAAGCACTCCATGTGTGTGTGTGTGTGTGTGTGTGTGTGTGTGTGTGTGTGTGTGTGTGTGTGTGTGTGTGTGTGTGTGTGTGTGTGTGTGTGTGTGTGTGTGTGTGTGTGTGTGTGTGTGTGTGTGTGTGTGTGTGTGTGTGTGTGTGAGAGGCCCTCAGAGGGGTAGGGGGTGGTTGTTTTCAGAATCAGAATAGGGGACATTTACATTAGTTACAGCAGTAAAGCCAAAGACAGCTTAATGTTAACTAAATATATTTCTATGTCTTTATAAACATTGTTTGAGAAAGGCAGGTAATATAAGATTATTTTCTTCTCCCTGCTCCCTTTCGGGTATGGTGTGTTCATAGAGACATGTTTTGTAAATAATTGTTATACATTAAGTTGTGCATACCATGAACGAAACAA